AGACAAACAGAGAGAGGGAGTCAAGGATGGACCACAGAGACACGAACAGGCACAGACGGAGACAAGCAGACAAGACTCACACTTCTTGCAATGGTTGGTTTCATGAAGCCGAGTGTCAAGTCAGCATCTGAGATCTTACACCACGGCACAATGAGTTGACACCTAGTGACCTAGTAGTACATGATAGCCACGGCCCAGGGACCATCAGAGGTCAAACTCCGAGGCACTAAGACATCCAAGCACGAGCCGCGCCACGTGTCCGCGGAATTCCAGGCGTACGACACCGAACAGATTGCAACACCGACGCCCACCGCCACCGCGATGTTGGTGCCTGTCAAGAGTGCAACATCCCTTCTACTCCTCGTGTCTGCGGCTTGCCCCGAGCCCATGCCCCAGGCCCTAACTGAACCAGAAGGCATATTGAAGCAGCACTCATCAGAACTTCACAGACCCCAATACATATCAAAAGGCACCTGCCGGCCACTTGCACAGGATCGTCCTCGGCTGAGCCGCCCGAGAGATTTCACTTGGGAAATGCTAGGCCGCTGGGCCCCAAGCTGAGAAACCTGAGATCAGAACTCACACACTCTTCTTACCACAAGCCAAGCATCACAATGATGATGACGATGGCATCTATCCTCGGCACCTGACCGACGAGCACACAGCAGTGGCGAGGGGGTTTAAGAGAGGGAGATGCTCCTCCAAACGCCCTCGACCTCGAAGGAAAAATTCTTCAGGAGCATTGGGGACCCGTGTGGGCTGACTGAGCCATGAGGACAGGATCTCTGTTTGACGAGCTGACTTCACAGTGACGACTTGACGGGAATCCCGATTCGGGCAATCATCAGCGCAAGGAACAAGGGACTGCAGTGCCCTCATTAGGACGGCACCCTGTGGACTTGGCACAAGATGAGAACCGAGCGTACGTTGAGGCAATGCTGTAGGGTTTGTAGGGATCCTGATTGCAGTATGCTCCCATTGGCACCTTACTTTGCAGTCAACCTGCTAGTGGAATAAAGTCCACCTGCAAAAAGCCAGAACAATTGGCGCAAAGCCAATGTGCGAAGTTGAAACCCCAAGACACCCACATTGCAACGTTCCGACTTCCCCGACTGCCCAAACTACAGACTCAAATGATCGAAGCCTGCAGCTGTGCAGAAGCCAAGAACGGTGAAGCCTATTTACCCTTGACAGCCTCCGACCCCGTGTCTGTGTCTCTGCCGACGCCTTCGCCCCAAACCACCGAAACTGTGGCTAAAGCTCCAGCCGTAGCAGGGCCTTGCGCTGCAGGCCCAGCTTCTCACGCATGCTCTTCGGGAGGAAGGCCGCCAACACCATAGGGATCGTGAACCACCTTGGCAATTTTTGGTACTCTTAGAGTTTAGTTTAGGGTTCGGGAAGCTTCGGAAGTTTAGGCTTCTCGTCTTGGTGCTTAGGTTTCAGGGCCCATCTGGCTCGACATCGCGGCTGTTCTCATGCCAGCTGAGCTGGAGATGATCGTGATGCACGACGGCGACCCTTCCTGCTGGCACCAACATCATAGCCACAGAAGCGCTATCAGCAGTCGTCGCCGTGACAACCAGAGCAACCTAGTCATAGTACTGTTATCAGCCGGTCGTCGATGCGGCCTTGCTGTTGTTTTCCCTCACCAGCGTTCAGCCATGGCTTTCCAATCCGTTGTCCAGCAAGTTCATGTTGTTCGCGCGCTTTCCCAGCAGAAGCGCACTGTTCTGTAGAAGCCACTCAGGCACGGCTAGCCGTTTCGAAAGGCCTCTGTGAAAAGAGGCATGACTCTTCACTATAATCTCGTGGGGGACATGAAGGAGGATTCCTCAGATACTGCAAACCAGATCCACATTGACATAGTGAACCAGGAGGCTTAAAGTCGGTAGTTCAAGGCAGAAAGTCGCATGTGAGGTTGCAAATCCCTTTGCTGCCATGCTGCTTGAAGGTGTGCAACACAACCTTGGTTCAGAGCAGAGCCTCATGCAATATAGGGCTTCGCATTCTGTTTTAAAGTTGAGATGAATGGAGAGCTAACCCCCAGCAAACAAGCACACAAGCAAGCCTGATCTATGGGCAAACCTTCCACAACGCCAGCCCCAAAGTTGTTGTAAAGTGTAAGCCTCTTTTAATAACAAGTGCCTGACGAGGAATCCTAGTCTCGAAGCAAAACAGAAGCTGAAGCCTCGATCCTGGCACGAAGGAGCGCACAGAACCCAAAGGGATACCTTTGGTTTGCAGTTCTAGCGTGTACTAGTAGCGGGGGGGTCCGCGTTACCGCCAACCAGAAATAGTACCCAGATGTTGCGGCCCGGTCACGACCAGCATAATGCCGGCTAAGGCAGCAACAGGGATGTAATTGAGCAATGGATAGGCGCCTCGGGAGAGCTGCTTCCATGATTAGCAAGACACCGCTCGACAAACCTGAAGCCCTCGACCACTAGACCCCGGGCACCCTTATGTGAGCCGGTTCCGCGCTAGACTTCGACGGATGAAATCCAATGCTCGGATGGCTGTTTAGATGCAGCGGCTGAGGATGTTGAATCGAATTTTTTGCGGCAGCCAGATGGAATCAGGGACTTGACGGATCTAAGACTTCGCATCCCGGTAAGGCCGAGGCCCATGACGCAGGCCATGATTCCCAGAGCTGTGACCTTCGGCAGGCATGCTCTTGCATCGAAACGGGTGGTGGGCTGCAGTGCCCGGCTCGTACGTCCACATAAACGTAATCGTCATAACGTGGTGTGTCGTGCCACGTCGACGATGAGGCGGTTCAGATTTGCATATACTCATTCATCCACTATCCTGAAGCCGGAGGCTATCGAGTCTAGTGACTATAACCACATTTCGACAGAGTAGGCTTATCACCAAGTTTACACGAATACGGAGTTCTCGAACATCCCTTCCACCATGGAAGCGCGAAGGATGGGAGCACCAATGGGAAATTGTGCTTGTAGTATGGAGCTTGCAACTATCGGAAGATTCGCAAACGACTCGAAGCCCCATATCCGACATTTCCCAACGTGCAGCCAAGGTTCGCAGGGGCCTAAGCGCCCCTTACCACCATTCAAGCAGTTCACGGTAGAAAGGCCGATCATTGCATTGCCTGAGGCATGCATGCCCTTCAAGAGGGAACATATTGTGAAACAGCTGTTGCAAGTCCTACACGTAATATGCCTTGAGTTCTTGCTTCTCGCAGTGAAAACGTCATTTTGTGCTTGTGCTAATGTTCAGAAAAGCTGTTGTCCCTGGTTTCGTCACAATTTCAGCGGCTCCCCCGTAACCACCGAGAACATTCTATTCGAGGGGGCCTCCCATGCCCCCTAAGAAGCCGCTGAGGACATTGGCCGCGCCCATGGCTAGCACGGTGCGGTCTCCGTTGCCGGGCTCCTGCTGTGCATCATCACAACACCGGGTGGAACGCCGAAACACAACAAGAAGAACAATACAAGGGGGTAGGTAAACCGCCATTGCAAAGATGACGAAAACAAGTGGTGATAGCACACCCTGGTGCTGGCTTGCAATCCAACACTGTACCACTTCAAGATTTCTGGTTTCCGCTTGTGTTGTTCCTGATGTAGGAGAGGCATGCAGTATGTAGTGCTAGCAATCACAAAAACCTATCCAGGCATGTGTCAAATGACTTACAAGCCAAAAGGTAAAACGCCTGATATACTGGCGATACGAGCAGGAACAGCGATAGCTGTGCAGGTGCCGCAGCATCTATTCTCACTTGTTCGGAATATACTAATTATTACAACACGAACTGTCTTAGATGCCCAGGCTCCTAAAGCAAAACACACACACACACACATACAGGCCGGTCGAAAGAGCAGATGTGAGCCGCCACTTCGCAACAGGCCCACAAGCTTCAGGCACATTCAAAGCACCAATAACGGAAAGCTTAACCACAGATTAGCAGTACTCATACGCTTACCAGAACTTATGGTCACAAGTAGTCTAGAATATCCACTTGTTCAATCGGGACAGCGCTTCGATCGGGGAATCGTAAACTCCAAACCCTACGGCAAATCCGAAGCCTTGGGTTTTAATCCTTTATCCTGAACCCTGCATAACTCTCAAAGTCTTAAACCCGGATATGTTGAAGGCTCTCGGTTTCCGGTTCCTTGGTGAAGGACTCGACGACCTGGCCCACTGGAAGCCAGGATAAAGGATTTCTTGCAGGATTTCCACTCTCACTCTCGTATCGCGTTCCCGGCTTCAGGGTTTCCCGTTTACGCAAACTAATGCTTCTGTAGACATACATGCCACACACATACAATGTTCGTAAAGGTACATTCTGCACACATACAAACACACACACACACACACACACATACATACACATGTGTGTGTGCTTTCTGGTGCCTGCCTACACACTTAGGCAAATGCTTTTCAAAGGACCAAGGCCTTCAAAAAGTAGGGTTACAGGTGGTAACATCAAACAGCTATCGTTACATCTACTTACCACTTCTTTTTTGACACTCACTCTCGGACAAAGCCTGGCAAGGTCTGCAGCGATACTGGTCTCTCGTTAACTCAGCGATTGGCACGTATCACCAAGCCGCCATCCAACTCTTACCACTTCTTATTATCCCACGCAAAGTACCTGAAACTTAAATCCTGCGATAGATAGAGCTACTTCCCAGGGCCTCGGCCGTCATCAGCGACTCGATCGAGCCCACGAGGCACAGGAAGATGCCCTAGCGACAATATCGGATTTGGCATGTTGGGGTGTCGTATGGCCCTTCAGACTGATTTTTTTGGGGGGGGTCTGACGTCGGCTGGTCTCCATCGAAGCCTGGATGATGATCTTGCTAATCCCGTCCCCCGTCAAGATGGGGGCCAGGTCGTAGCTCACAGCATCCTTTGGCAAAGCGCAGCCAAGTCTGTCGCAAGACAAGGGACCAGGCCCCACTGCCCATCATTGGCCCGGCCGCAAAGCCCTTCTGAGTCGAGTATATTGGCTCTGGTGCTACACCGCTCAAGTGCATGCTACAGAATTCCTGTGGCAGCTCGGGCAGGCCATGGGCGACTGGCCATTCGACGCGAAGGCTGTGAAGCACAGACGACACACTGATGCGTCGAATGATTTAAGGGTTCAGTTCAGAATTCCGCAAAAAATGAAAATCTACAAATTGCCCGTGGCGTGCGCTATAATTCATTAGGTTCATCTTCTCGCATGCCACTCTGGCTCCTGAAAATTAAGCAATGCCCTGCCAAGCCCGGAATCCACCATGCGTGTGAACTAACCCCCCGCGATTCAAAACTTCGGTCTGCTGCGCAGCCAGGCGACCGTGCTGATGAAGAATGGAATGGGGAAGGCCTTCGGACAGCTGGACGTGCGACTTGAAGGTGGTTTTAGGACTTCTTCGGCTTCTCGCTTTAAGACTTCAGCAGTGAGGGTTCCAGTGTTAACGCAACCACCCACGAATTAAAAACACCCGTCCTGCAATCACAACTGGGGCCCACACCGTGTCAAGGGTAAACTCGCTGACGTCGCGAATGGTGGACTGCATCGAGAGGCTGGTGCCGTTGAGGATTCGCGGGCGGTACTATTCGACCCTTCGTTTTGTCACTCGCAACTCGGGAGTACCAGGCCAGGGCTCAGGCGACATGAGACGGTTCAGGGCAACTCGGTGGGCACCCCGAGCAGACAAAACCCGATGAAAAGGCGGACAACCCGACGTAGATTGAGCCCAGGATCGGTTCGCGAGCCAGTGCTTCGCACGATCGCGAACCTGATTCGACTCTCCGGGCTAAGGGGTTTCGGATGAAAGGCTAAGCTTTTGAGGTTTGGAGAAATAGGGGTCTCGATTTTCGGACAGAGAAGGGATCTGCGAAACTTCGGGTTCAGGGTTCTTTCATTACCTTGGTCTGGTTTGCTCGGCAGGGAACAAGTGCTTCACAGGTATGGCAAAAAGGGACTGGCAGAATCGGATGCCATTCAAACTATTATCTTCTGTCATGAAACATCTGGGGCCGGTCTGCGGGTTGGGTTTCCGAAACGTGTTTCCCTTCGTGGGATAAAAAGACCGCAGAAGCCATACTCTCCTGCATCATGTGATGTGGTGCCTTCAGTAGGACACTAGGGAGAGCCTTGAACCCTAGGCCCTAAACTCCAGGCCCAGGAGGAAAAAAAAACAAAATACCTTGTAAGAACCTGGGCTCGAGAACTCTCACACTGTTCGGCTCAGGCAGGCGGCTCGATCACGATGGCCGAGATGATGGCCAAGAGCGAGGAAGGCACCACTTTGAAGATCTTCAGCGGGATCCTCGTCATGGTGATCACAGAGGTTCTGAAAAAAATGCCGGAACGGCCACACGAGCTGCAGGCTCATCACAACAAGAGCAAAGGCCGAGGGGCTTGGGCAAGAACTCCATGACGATCATGCTCGAGAAGCAGATAACCTTGGCTGCTGGTCGACCCCGAGAGAAACAGTATCACTATGGCCGACAGTTCCCGGAGTCATGACCTGACTCAGCTGATAACTGGCATTCAGTCGGATCCATTAGTTGGTCCGCGAAAAACGATGTAGGAGGGTGCATGCTCCCCAGTACGCTGCAGGTATCCTACCACCTGGACCTGGGAAGGCTCTTAGCACGGCACCAGCATCCAGATCATCTCCATCCCTTCCTTCCAGTGGTGTGTTACCTGGGAAGTTGAGGAATGCCGCTTGCGGATTCAGCTTCGCAGTTCACGGGTCGAGTGGCTGCAGGCTTTGGTTGTAAGGAGGGCTTCAGCATTCTGGGCTCTTATCTCTCTGGGTCCTTACTAGAATGCTCCAGACGAGGATGACGGTGTCTATTCAGCAGCCACTTGGCCGGCCATAAGCTTGTAAATTTGCGACAACGGCTCGTCTGGTCCAGTTTTGCCTCATCCGAGCTCTGTGCATGCTCGACACCATCTCTTCACCCTTGATCTGACCAAGACCAGGAAGCAGCGGAAGCAAGACAAAGAGCCACCACGCCAGTCTCCATTTACTAACGACCTCTTGCCTCTTGCCACAAACCAGTTGTACAAGCCCAAAGTCTCATAGTAAACAAGAAAGTCCAACGACCCGGCCGGTGGCTGGCACAGGCCTGCGCAGCTTAAGCACGCAGCTAGCCTGAGCTACAGTATAACAGTTGACAGCCCAAACCATGATAAGCGCACCTCCCAGGAACCAGGTAACCTGAGTGCAACCCCAATAACATACTTCAACTTTTTCCTCCTACACCTGAAAAACCGGCCTAAGCTGAAGCTTTGGACGAGCAGTCTCCGACTTGCAAGTTGGGACCCCTGCATCCCTGCACTAGGTCTTCCAAAACGAAACGAAAGTGCGCATTTGCTTCGCCGGTTCACGGCACCCTGCATGATGAAGACTTTGCCCACTCGCTCCTCCATGGATATGTCTCTTTTTTCCAAGGAGCAGGGTCCTCGAAGGGATGCAGCTGAGACAACCCGATGACGATAGCCAGACCGTTGCAGAAGCCCAGCATGACCTCAGAGCTTCTCAGCCTTTACTGTAGAAACATCTTTGCTGCTCCTGCCGTATGGGAAGATGCTACTCATGACGGTGCGCATTGGTCCGGATTGGACGGGGGCGAGGGCAGTAATGTCAAACAATCGTCGTCGTCGTCGTCCTCGTCGTCGTCGTCGTCGTAGTAGTGGTAGTAGTGTTAGTAGTAGTAGTAGTAGTAGTAGTAGTAGTAGTAGTAGTAGTAGTAGTAGTAGTAGTAGTAGTAGCAGTAGTAGCAGTAGTAGTAGCAGTAGTAGTAGCAGTAGTAGCAGTAGCAGTAGCAGTAGCAGTAGCAGTAGCAGTAGCAGTAGCAGTAGTAGTAGTAGTAGTAGTAGTAGTAGTAGTAGTAGTAGTAGGTAGTAGTAGTAGTAGTAGTAGTAGTAGTAGTAGTGGTAGTAGTGGTAGTAGTAGTAGCAGTAGTAGTAGTAGTAGTGGCAGCAGCAGCAGCAGCAGGGGCAGGAGCAGGAGCAGGAGTAAAGGTAGCAGGTATGTGGTATGTAGCAGGTATGTAGCAGGTAGTAGCTAGTAGGTAGTAGATAGTAGGTGGTGGGTAGTGGGCAGTGGGTAGTGGATAGTGAGTAGTGGATGCTGGGTAGTGGGTAGTAGGTGGTAGTAGTCGTCGTCGGCGTCGTCGTCGTCGGCGTAGCCGCCGTAGTCGTAGTAGTCGTAGTAGTCGCACCGTACCCGTACTCGTACACGCAGGTACGGGTAGCAGCACCAGGGCGGGCAGTTCCACAAAGACCTGAAGAGCTCCTCCGGCTGGCGCCCGTCCTCTGCCAAGTGGCTGGCGACGGCAGCCTCGGTGACGACAAACAAGGCTCACTTTCAGTAAATGCCGAAGCCACACAAACCTCCAGGCTAAGGATCCAAACATCCCTGCAAGACCGAAACCTTCGAATGTGGTCCAAAGAACAAATCCTGAGGCCCTACGCTCTAAACCAGAACAAAGCCTGCTACAGGTCAACGAGGGGCAGCGTGATGAAGCGGGAGAGCTTCGTCACTGACACCAGGACCATGAGGAGCCCAGCAAGAATCACCTGACTGAGCAAACAGTTCAGGGGTTGTCAGGACGTGGATTAGTGCCAGAAGGATCATGACTCCTGGATGGAGATGGAGTCCGGTTGTCCAAGTATGTCTCAAAGATGCAAATTCGCGCCGCCATCAAGGCTACACATTTAATCCAGAACATGTCTAAACCCTACGCCCCAGGCCCTTCATCTCTGAAATCTCCAAAGTAGACCCTAGGCCCTAGGCTTCGCATCCTAAACCCTCCACTGGTCCTACCAAAGTTATCCCAAGATGCTGAGGGGAACAGCAGCTCAACGCCCTCGCCGTTGTTCCCGGTGCCGGCCGGTGGGATAAAGGTACCAATCTCGGAAAGGTGTGCAAGTCTGGCACTGTGGGCTGTGGGAAACGCTGAGACTTGCAGTATTTCGTGATCGCCTGTGACAGTCCAGGATTTAAGATGGTTCAGCTTTTTTGCGATTACCCTGGCGACATCTGCACTCAGACTCGAATGTGCAACTCGGCTTCAATCGTGCATGTCGAGCCGGGCACTCCGGAGCTGAGCACTTCTGAATAAGCACGGCCTCTTAAGCTGTTCTTTTGAACCTTGTTTATACCAGTGCCTCTCGTGCGACTTAACCCGATAGGCTGATTCTTGCACCGTCCTAATTTCTCCTCGTCTTGCAACACATCGTCGGGGGAAGCGTGAAGGGCTTAAGCATTGCATGCCGAAGGACTGCCGGCTAAAATGCAGAGCGGATTCCTCCGGGAAGCGTGAACCACGCTCAATCACAGAGGTCTCCCGCCTTCAAGTCCGAACCCTGCTTTAAGCCTTCACAAAGCCTTATGAGGATCGGACGATGGCCGCAAAAGCGCCGGTCGCACCTGCAGGCAGTCATCAACGCCGGGGTACGTCTTACCTTTTGCTGCAATTCCTGAACCCGGACAGCAAGATGTCTGTGGAGAACCACATCGTTAGAAGCAATGCAGAAGGACGCAAGGGGGCTGCGATGAATCAGAAGTGTAGAAGAGCAGCTCACTACCCCACGAGACGCAGATACCCCAACAACCCAGAAACGCGTGCCTCTTAGCAGCTGCGTGGACAAACATGCAACTGATATCATTTCTTGCCCGGAAAACCCAGGCTGCCATTGCAAGGGATCAGCCATCGCCACGGCAAACTCACCGTCTCGAAGCCCCAAACAACTTGGCCCGGCACCATTGACCATGCCGGGCCGTCCACCGAAAGCGCTGCAAATGAAACCTGGCATGATGTAGCATCGGGGCGACTCAGCGAAGAAAGATGTACGTCATTAGTAGCACATACTCTCATGTAAACGTGCTTTAATTCAAACGCCATGCAGCACCTTTTGCGGCTTTCACTGCGCACTCAGCTGGGAGGACTGGATTTAACAAGCTCTGGGAATCCTGCAGGTTCTGGAGACTGCCGGAGGCGAACGACAAAACAGCACCCAAAGCTGGAATCAGCCCAGGTATAGGACCCGGCCCCCACTCAGTTCAGTCAAGTGGCCAACTATCCATGCGGCATGCAGGGCAATCGGGGGCTTGATGTTAGCCTTGCGGCAACAGCTTGCGTCATTCAGTTTCAAACCTCGGAACCCTTGGGAATGACTATGGCAAGCACGATCCAGCTGCGAGACTCGCATTCTTTCACAACATAAGCACTCCCGCGACGGGGAATGCAACACTTCGGACACTGTGGAAGGCACAACCTGTGCATTTTGCTACCAAAGCGCGCTAGGGCCCCAATATATGCAGGGGCCATCGAGGGAGCCTAATGTGGGTTTTCTAGGCGCGGGAATGCACGCTCGGTCAACCTAGGGCCCGAAAGTTCCAGACGAAGGAAACATGTCTACACGCTGCCCAGCCCCAAATGCATGATTTAGTCTGCGCAACCGTGTCGGTAGGTGGCTTTGGTTCTGCGGCCAGTCGACTGCAGCTGAAGAACAAGAAGGCCCTTGTCAATGTGCCACTGCACTGTAAAAGCCTGTTGAATAGAAAAGGTCTGTGCCCCGAGTTACCCTTCAACTAACAGTCCTCCGCGATGGGTTTCCACTTAAGCCACTGTAATAACAACAACCAGCACAGGGGAGAGATTAGATTGGATAGGACAGGGGACCCTGATTAAAGCCTAAACAATTGAATCCTGCCTTGTACAACGACCCTGAACACTACACCCCGTTCCAGATCTGAGAGCGGCTCCATGAATGCAAAGGCCACCTCAGCGGCTTTAGTTGTCGGGTACTGGGATTGAACTTCGATGTTGTTTCGGTTTAGGGCTCTCAGCGCCCACTCGCATCGGTTTCGGATAGGGGGCTTAGGGCCGTTTTGGATTTAGGAAGCTACATTGATGGCATAATAAGGTCATAACAGTAGACGGGCTCGGCTTTTTTTCACCCCGAAAAGGCTCCTCATGCTCACTTTCTTGCGTGGGGTCTTTTTCGCACCCTGCTCAAATCCTCAAAGTTTGGGGTCTAGGGCGGAAGGGAGAAAATTGTTGACGATGCCAAAAAAACGTGGCCGGCCATATAGGGTGTTTTTCACGCCCTGGGTGTGGGAGTTTCAAGCTGAAGGAACAACCACTAAGGAAGCAAAAAAACAACCTAATCGGCCACACAAGGTTTTTTCGCGACCTGGATTTAGGGGTCTAAAGCCGAAGGAACAAAAGAATAAAGAGGGGAGGAGGGGAGAGCAGCTGGAAAAAGACTAGGAAAATCGAGAACAAGGAGAAAACCGCCCGAAAGGGACTGGAGAATTGCAGAACAAGGAGCAAACCGCTCGAAAGAGACTTCGAGAACAAGGAGAAAAACGCTCGAAAGTGACTACGTACAGAATCACCTCGAAAGAGGATAGAGAATTTCGGAACACCCTCGAAAGAGACTAGAGAAGTTCAGAACAAGGAGCCAACCGCTCGAAAGGTACTAGAGATGTTCAGAACCAGGAGCAAACCGCTCGAAAGAGACTAGAGAAGTTCAGAACAAGGGGCAAACCGCTCGAAAGAAGAGACTAGAGAATTGAGAACAAGGAGCAAACCGCTCGAAAGAGACTAGGGAATTTGATAACAAGGATCAAACCGCTCGAAAGAGAATAGGATAGGTGAGAACACTAGGGAATTAACGACAGTGGAGCAAACCGCTTGAAAGGGACTAGATAAATTCAGAACAAGGAGCAAACCCTTCGAAAGAGACAAGGGAATTTGCGAACACAAGGAGCAAACCGCTCGAGACTAGGGAATATGAGAAACAGGGCCAAACCGCTCGAAAGAGACTAGGCAATTTGCGAACAAGCAGCAAACCGCTCGAGACTTGGGAATTTGAGAAAAAGGAGCAAACAGATCGAAACAGACTAGAGAAGTTCAGAACAAGGAGCAAACCGCTAAGGGCGGGCGCTCTTTAAACGAGGCGACCTTTCAAAACCCGTCTTTGGGTTAGGAGGGTTCTTATCTCAACATCTCGGGCCCGGGAAATCTCGTTCCGGGCTGCAGACGGGCCACTGAAAGCCCTGTGGAAGGGCAGGCTTTTTTGGTCAGAAGCATACGTGGCGAGGTAGAAGAAAAACCCGTGCGCGGGAGTCAAGGGCGCTTTAGACCCTGTCCCACTTTCGTGGAGATGCGAATAAGACCCTGGACAGGGCGGAGAGCTTGCTTCGGACTCTGTCCATGCATGCTCGAAAAGCTGTTGAGCGCCAGGCCTACCCAGGGCAGAGAAAAGGCGTTTCAGACAGTACCAAAAAAAGCCCTACAGACCAAAACAAACAGCCCACAGTACAGCCTTCGGAGTTTCCAAGGGTCAGGAGAAGGCACGGGTGAAATCTTGGAGCTTGCAGAGTCTTGCGAATCTGCGGCCCTGGGGAGCGGGAGGCTTCGGGAGGAGGCTCAGCATGACCCATGCCATCTGAATGCTGTCATTATAGAAAATAGTCATTGGTGACCAAGCGCCCCTATCAGGTAAAAGAGTCTAGAGCTCCGGTGCTTGAGGCCTGACTGAGCTTAGCATGTATTAGTTTTCTCCTGCAGCATGTTGGAAGAACACGGAACAGGGGTCAGAGAAGCTTTACAAGGACATGAAGCCTGCGGGCCGGAGGTGGCTCTGAAAGTGAAGCTGCATGATGCGGCATGACGGCAATACAGCTCGCAATTTAGGTCCGAGCTGAACAAGCCCTGGCCAAAACTATTCTCGTCTCAACTACGTATTAGACCCTGGACCCCAATGGCATGCAATGGCGACGTGATAAACTTACATCTTGCCAGGCCAAGAAGCAGATTCCGGGATTTGTGCAAAGCAGATCGTCACACCTTACGGCTATAACGGTTCAGAGCCACACTGTGGAGGTTTCCAGCCAGGGGCACAGGTGTTTGACGGCCCAAAACATTTCCCAAACAATGCATCCCGAGACCTACAAACAGCTTTGAAAGTGCGGCTTGCGCGGTGTTCTGATGCTCTATGATCGGCCACATGGGTAATTTTTCTTAGCACCCCATCTGCATGCAGGGATCCGTCGTGTCAGCTAGCGGACAACGGCATTTCCGACATACGTAGCAGAGGCGGACGGTGTGACAGTATCTGCGGAGCTTGATCGGCATTGCTAGTGGGCACCATGCAATCACGCAAGAGGTGCGTATCCGGGTCGGGCGCGAGAGTTGCATCCAAGCACATGCAAGTACACAAAAGTATGCCATCGAAACATATACAAATTCCCACGAGCACACTTCCGGCTGGCGAGGAACGCCACCAACATCACCGGTGCAGATGTGACTCCCCGCATCTGCAGCACTTACAATCAACATTCGATTGGCCAACTTTGACTTACAGGCTTAGGACCCAGATTTTCGGCCCGAAACCCCCCAAAGTCGACATGAAACACCTGGGAGGAAGGCTCCTGAGGCTTCAAGCTAGGAAGAGCGAGCTGCTACATCCAGGGTTCAGCCTTAAGGCGACCTAGACATGTGTTTGCCCTAGAGATCAAGTCATAAGGGCTCTGAGCCTGCCCTTACCTTACGTTCTCAAGATGCTGCTTACCGTAACCTTTGCCACCAAGAGGCCGAGAAGCACCTCTCGGACGACGTATTCTGTGGACAATCCTTCGCCTGATGCTCTTTCGATTGTCACGAACTGGTTTTTGGGGTGTTCGGGAGCCGGGGGGCAGAAAACAGAATGCCTATTTTCAGCAAGCAATGCGTGCTGTCACGCTGCCAGGCCGACCGTTCGAACGCAGGTGCAAAGGAGGCGGCAGCAGCAGATGGCAGTGGTGCAACAGCGGCCGTCAGCATGATACTGTTGTAACTTGAAACCATGCCAGCAATATCTACTGCCCTTGAACCCATCGCCTACATGCCACCACCACCAGCACCACCACCATCATCATCATCATCACGTTCGTCGTCCTCCCCTTCTCACCTCTTCGTGGCAAGAAAAAAGCAGGAGTCGCAAAGCAACAGCGCATTCCACAGGCAATCCAGCAGGAAGAGGGCACAAGCAGCAGTTCTGTGCTTATGCGACTGATGATGGTCATCATTCAAGTTGGAATTCCTCCCGTTCTTCACGCCTTTGCTTAAATGCGCCTAGTACTCGTGTGGCTGTTCTTCTGTATCAGTAGTGCTACAACCGTTGCTGGCCTTCGCTTGGTTTCAAGGCGCTCTCATGCCAAGCAAGCCTGAAGAATTCAAAAAAAAAACTCAAGATCTACGGAACCCGAAACAAAGCTTTTCCGAACGAGGCACCATACTTCCCGAGGTACCGCTCGAAGATGCTTTTGTCCCCTGCTTTCAGAGAGTAGTTTAGGGCTGTTAGCCGTTAGCTTTGGGAAGCTTGGCTGCAAACACCGGAATACCAGAGTCACACCAGCCATAACAGTCATGCACGAACAAAGGAGAAGCAGAAGCTCCCTCATCCCAGTAAGAATACAAGCCAAGCGGGAGCCTTCAGACCCGGGTCCGAGACCGAAAAAGGTGCCCTCACAGAAAAATTCCGACCTCGCCTGACTCTTGCTCCCTTCACAAGGATTCTTTTTTGAGGTCCCAAAAAAGGGCACTGCTTCTGGGTTTTAGCTCCACGACTCTAAGGTGTCTTCGTTCTTGACGAGGCTTCTTGTGGGTCGGATTCTTTCCAGGAGGTACCGATCCAAGAAGGAGGTCATTCTCGGCATGATCAAGACCCGCCTCCAGGTCGTGGACTCTGGGAACAGGCTCAAAGAGCGATCCGGCATCTTATCTCCATCAACTCTCCTACATTGCCATACATCCTCTGAACGAAACCCTCTCAGGATGAAGCCGTGAAGCCCTGAACCTGAAGACAAAGAAGAATGAAAAGCCCTTGATCAGGACTTCACTAGACTCGCACACCTTTGTCGCGGCGCAGGGCGGTGCTCGACATCTTCGCCGCCTTTTCCTGTCACTGCTTAGGGTGCCTTCTCTCGTCGCGAGGTTGTTGGTGCTGAGTTGGTTGAGGTGAAACCTAGGCGTAAGTTTGGTTGTAGCACCTCCACACGAAATACAACACATGACAACCACTTTCATACCAAGTGTTGCTCAGGAGCCTGTAAGCGGATCTGAGGTAGGCTCAGCTCCAGGGGTCGTAACATATATGGGATATCCCGTTAGCAGTTGGGACTGTCTTCGCCCCATAAACTCCGACCTGTAGAGATTTGAAACGACGAAGGCGGCATATCTGTCTGTTTTGAAGTTGCTGTAGAGCGATTTGCTTTCCGGTAGGGGTTCCGGCTCGAGCTCGCCAACTGCACTATGCTTCAGAATTCGGCAGCCGCATGAAGGCTGTCAGCTTACGAAGTTCACGTATTGCAGACTTGGACATAGACCTCATGTCTGCACAGACTTGGGCGGCTGAGGGAGGAGAGGTGACGGCTATGGGCTGAAAGTCGCCGAGCCTGCAAGACAAAAGAGTGGGGCCGCGGCGCGAGGGTAGGGTCCGGCTTTAGTTGGTATTTGCTGAGGGCCAACAGCTGCCGAGTTCAGGCTCCCAGGGACTCCCAGGTTTCCCAAAAAGCCCCGCCAACACCTAAACGCAGCGACGCACCCTCTTTGGCTAAACCTAGACTCTAGACTCTTGCAACCGCCAAATCAAGGAACCCCCCCAGTCCGATGCGCAGATCTCGGCTTAGCCCGGCATCTTATGTTGGACGCCCCGCGACCCGCAAGTTGGCTTCTTGCAGTCTGTCTCCGCGGCTGGATCAGGCACATTCGTCGATTCTTTTAGTATACAATATTGGTTGACTAGTGCCGCAATTGGTACATAGCAAGTTAGTATTATAATCTTTGTATCCGACTATGAGTTCTGAAAATATCCTGTCGGTGACACAGCTCCGACCTCGTCTAGTCTCGGATTCTTACCACAACGGAACAGCATTCGAAGGCAGCTCGCTCTTTGCCTCATGCTTCCCGCAATCTGGGAACTCCGAAAATTCCGACCGCGCGAGGGTCATCGATTCCTCAAGAACGAGCCGAAGTCATGCTCCATGTGCCTGAAGATATCCATGCTTCCAGGAAAGTTAGACCAGGCTCATCGATGGCCCGCTAGGCACAGGAAAATTGAAGCAGGAAGCCGCGCCAGCGTCACCAGTGAGACCGACCATCTGACCTAAAGCCCCAAATCCTGGAGGGCTACGGATACCAAATTTGCTGCTTCGGATCCTGCGCCATGCATCTCCAAGGAAAAGGTCGCATAAAAGGGACCTTCGAAAATCGGCCCGAAGGGATGCCCTCCAACGGCAATTTTGCTGGGCGTTCCGTGCTTCCTGTGGTACGAGTTAGTGTCTTGCCACCAACGTCCAGCAGAAATCCTAACAAAACGATGATGAGGCTTGTGAAGGCTGCGCGCGCTGCCATCACGCGAAGAAGCTGTCCTCAAGCTTGCATGGGCTGGGAGAACCCCGACCGTTGCCAAGGTCCCCACCGAAAGTCCTATCCTGCATCTTGCTGGCAGCCACGCCCAACGATTAACTCGAGTCTAAACCCGAAAAAGCCGGGGCTGGGACCAGCTCTGACAGCTTGTCCAGGGGAATGTCCACCTGAATCCTGAGCGCAGGATTAGAGATTCCGACTCAACTCAGAGACACTGCGAGGCTTTGCCGACGTTGAGTTGATTGCAGTCCGAGACCGAAGGCAACAGCTACATGGCCCTGCCCTGGAACCCTCACTAACCTAGGCCAACTCCACGGGACGAACCAAAACAGCCTCTCTCGAGGGGCCCACCTGCAACTTTAAGCTTGATAACTTTTTTTCACCGTAGCCAAGCCAAGCTTCCTCTGGCCCTTTAATAAAGGCTCCTGACTGAAACGCTCTCAAAAGATGGCCCAGGCGCTTCTCAGGAGGCGTGTCCTTGGGGCACCGCAAATCCTCGCGGAGGAGTGAAATATAGGTGTCTTATAATAATTTGAGTAGGGTTTTGGGGCCCATTATACTGCACTTACAAAAAGGAACCTCCAAAACCCTCGTCTGACCATTAAGGCCCCTACAGACAGTGCTTTTGGAAAGGAAAGCATGGCAGACGGCATCATGGAAACGCAGAGACATACTTTTGAAGGTCACGACGGTGGCTTTCTTCCCTCCTACTTGGCAAGGACGAAGCGGAGTTCAGGGGCTTTAGAGTTTTGGACTTGAGCCAAGGATCCTCAAATATCTTCTAGTCAAGCGACAGACAGTCTGGACGCCGATGGTACTACTCTGGAAACTCCCATGCTAGTGCGATCGAGCTTCACAAACTCTACAGTCTACATGCGAGCCTGAGAAACGCCGGTCTGAATTTTGCGCTGGCGATTCAGCCTGCTAGTGAGTTGACGCCGCAATCACCTAAGTTGCACATACCCACTTCAGAGTAAGTGCAATCGTAACAAAGTCCGAAAAATCGTCACAGTGGTCATCAGCAGCCTGCATTCCTCTGTCCTTGACCCGGACCTCGCCCTTCTCCCACTCGTCGGGTGCCACGAAAGCGATCTTCGCGGCTCCGACCTACCAGGCCAAGAAGAGTAATCACATAAGTAAGATTGCTTGTAACTACAAAGTAAGAAGCATCAAATGGAGACTCAGGGCAGAAATTACGAGAGTGCGGTTTCCTGCCAAGCACGAAGCCCAAAATCACGCCTTACTCATGTCTACAACCAAGACTGTGTCCAGTTGGGAGGCTCCAAAACGAAAAATACAAAAACTAAGCAAGTTCATACATGCCCTGGATAATGGGATCTTCCATATAGGCAATCCCCGCAAAGGACCATTAACCAGTCCTCTCCACTTAGATCCGCCTTGTCTGCGTACCGGAAAGCCTTCTTCACCCTGCGCGCGGCCTGGTCCGGTCTTCAACATTCAGACTCTGTTTGCGACACCTTGCTTCAGGCATCTAGGCCCAACATGCAAGAGCAGCCTACGGAAAAAGCCCTGGTAGTTGTCGTCGTCGCATTCGTCATGGCCTAGACTTAGTCGCAGCCGTAGTCTTTGTCAGTAGTTGTCGACGTGGCAGTGTCTATTGCAGCGGCAGGGGTCGCAGGCAGCAGCAGCAGAAGCAGCAGAAGCAGTGGTAGTAGCAGTCGTAGTTGTAGTTGTAGTTGTAGTAGTTGTAGTAGTAGTAGTAGTAGTAGTAGTAGTAGTCGTAGTAGTAGTAGTAGTAGTAGTAGTAGCAGTGGTAGTAGTAGTAGTAGCAGTAGAGTACCACTGCTACACTACTGCTACTACTACCACCACAACCACCACGACTACTACTACTACTACTACTGCTGCTACTGCTACTGCTACTACTACTGCTACTGCTACTGCTACTGCTACTGCTACTGCTACTGCTACTGCTACTGACTACTACTACTACTACTACTACTGGGTAGTAGTGGTGATTGTAGCAGTAGCCGTGGTAATGGTAGTGGTAGCAGTAGTGGTGCTAGTAGAAGTAGTAGTAGCAGCAGCAGTAGTAGTAGTAGTAGTAGTAGTCGTCGTCGTCGTCATCGTGGTGGCGGTGGTAGTGGTAATTAGTAGTTGCAACAGTAGTAGTAGTAGTAGTAGTAGTAGTAGTAGTAGTAGTAGTAGTAGTAGTAGCAGCAGTAGCAGTAGTAGTAGCAGTAGTAGTAGTAGTAGTCGTCGTCGTCGTCATCGTGGTGGCGGTGGTAGTGGTAATTAGTAGTTGCAACAGTAGTAGCAGTAGTAGTAGTAGTAGTAGTAGTAGTAGTAGTAGTAGTAGTAGTAGTAGTAGTAGTAAATAATGCAGATCTTGTTGTTGTATGGTAGTAGTACAGTGGCAGTCGTTACCGTCGTTGCTGCAACTGCAAAAGGAGTCTGACAGGAGTCTGACTAGTGACTAGTGGTGAGTACGAGTAGTGGTTGTGGCAGGGGCAGAGGTTGTAGTAGTCGTAGCGTAGCAGCAGCTGCTGCAAGAGGAGTGGCATTAGTAGTCGTGGTTGTCGTGGCAATGACGTAAGGGTCAGCAGCAGCATCATCAGTCTATTGTTGCAGTAGTTGCAGTTGTACAAAGTACTCGTCTTTTTCCATCATGTGCAGCCACCAGCCTCCGGAAGGACGTCAACGGACTTCCCTGCTAGCCGAAGCCTCACGCGCTTTCTCTCGCCAGGGCTATGGAGGCTCTCTGTCTTTCTCTCTCGCTTGCTTGCTTTCGGTTGGCCGTCCCTCTCCCTCTTTCCTCTGGGGGCTTTTATGGCTTTTACTCCACATGCATGCGGCCAGATGCACCGGGGCTTAATTCGTTCTTCTGCTGCTACTACTGCCTCGGGAACAAAACCCGAAATTTCTGGAGACCGCTTCGGAAATTGACTCCCTCGGCATGGACAACAGCCTCGAAAACAAAGCTTGCAGCCTAAACAACAACGAAGCTCAGCTTTTCAACACACCATGTGAAGGCCCTGACCTGAACTCGACATCCCACCCCGAAAGCTCCAAGCACAACGAATGAGCCGTGCGGGCATCTAAGAAGGAGACCGCCGAGCCACATTCATGGCCTCTCTTTGCAGGCTGGAAGCAAGCAACACTCCTTTAAATGTCCGAAACCCACGTTGAGGAGGAACCCTCAGGTTGAACAAGATAAGGGGGGCCTTCATGATTTTGGGAGCAACTTGAAGCGTTGGAACTCTGTGGGTTCGGGTTTTCTGACACTCCAGGTAGGACGAACAAGGATTATGGGCCTTCCAAAGAAAACGGATTTCGGAGCTTTACTTGTTTAGTGGGGTCCCCCCTAAACCTTAAACACCGCAAACCCTAGATCTGCGACCAGGGAGCTCCATGATGCTTGAACAAATCGATATGGGAGCTTCAGACAAAGGACCCCGACATAAAACCCTAAATCATGGGATCCTTATTCTAAGGACCCCGAACTCGAACACCACAGCTCAGCCGGCTTGGTGAGTAGAGTGTCCTTGACTAGTCTTCATCAGCCAGCGCAGCAACAGACACTGGCAAGCTTTCACAAGAAGCTCCTGGCTCGCCTTCCCCATCATGTCCGCATTGTAGGCTGCCACCACCATGTCCACGGAGGGGGGCAGGTCGGGCAGCACCTGCCGAGCGAAGGTGTGGGGCTTAGGAAATCGACGCTCTGCTTGGTATACTTGGCGACCGGATAAACTACTCCGCAGTGCATCGAACGTATCTCGCTGCAGCGACATGACATGGAGTGCTAACATCCCGACTGTAACATCGCTTCAGTAGGCCTCACACCACGACCTGTCCTAACTGGTCTGCGAAGCAACAGCACACCCGACTCGATCAGGCATGTGGGCGGTGCTGAGTGACTTCTTTCTGTCCCTGCCGTCGTGGCGTGGCACATGGTATCGGGGGGATGGAAGGTAGGAAAGGACAGGACAAACAGCAGCGTGCCCTTCGGGAAGCTCGGCAGGCCAAACCAAACTCGAAAAGTCAGCTCCATAGCTTGGCAGCATCAAGACACTCAACTTGTTGGGTTTTCGGGCACTCATAGCGCTTAGAAGCGGCTACCACGCTGTAAAGCTGTAACGCAAAAGAGCAGGTTGAAAATTCTGCAGTAGTGCAGTGGACAGCCTGCTGCATCCTTCTCTTCAGGACACTCTGTGACTCAAAGCTTAATGCCTTGCTCCGGCTCGAACTTGGCCCCGAGCTCACTCAACTTCTTGTGGGCCTTCGCATAGTCCTTGAAGAAGGCCTCCTGATCCTTAGCATAAAGGTCGAAGTACTTCTTGAATTCCGGGTCCGTGTGAAGAGCTTCATCGGTTGGGAACCACAGGAGGTTCTCATCCTCGGAGGCCAGCTTGTAGTCTTTGAAGTAACTGTTGTCAAAGGTCAGCCAGTTCTTCGTCCAAGCCGCACCGCCAACCATTCCGACACCTTTCTGGCCATCCTTCCGTGCCAAGCAATCGGACTTGGTGTACTTTGATGCCCCCTGTTCACCATAGCCGAAAGGGCAGGCGCCACTGCGCTCCTTGAAGGCGCGGCCAATGGTGTGCGCACCAGAGAGTGCGACGATCTCCTGATCCGTGAAGCCCATCTTCTTCGTGAAAACATTCCGAAGATGCTGTGCCGCCGTCGGTGCCCCGCAACCGAAGGGAGGCTTGGCATCGGGAAGCCCCGCATTCCCCGAGAAGCCCTCCCTGGACGCTGATTTCACACACTCGCCGTCGGAGCTGACTGCCACTCGGCCGTACTTCATGTCAATGGCAGGGCCACCGGCACATTCAATGGCAACGGCGGATGCCAGCTGGATGAGGTCAGCCCAGGAAATTTCGGGATACTTCGTCGCGAACTCATCGAGAAACCCTTTGGCTTTGTCGAGGCCGGCATTAGCGCCGAAGTTCATCTCGCCCGCAAACCTGATTGCACCGTTGGCGCCACCCCGCTCCGGGAAGTTCTTGATGCGCTGATCATAGGTACCAGAGTCGTGCCAGGCCAAGCGAACCATGATCGGATGACAGTTTTTGCCGTCGATGAACTTCTTGAGGTCCTGTTTGCAGGCTCGCAACTGCGAGACCTTCTTGCTGCCACCCAGCATGCCGAAGCAACCGTCGGAGCAGGCGTTTCCCATGACGGCTGCGCGGAAGGGGTCCCAAGGAGCAGGTAGCGGGACTCGAAGGATCGGTGGGCCGAAATGGCTCGAGATATAACACCTCATGTTTAGGATACCATGTACACTACACGACGTACGATGCACAGAAGTATGTGTACGTTGTATGTGTATCTGTACGTGTATAAACATATTCATGTATATATAAATATAAACAAATATACATATATATGAAAACACATATACATACATACACATATATATATGTATGTATATGAATAAATAAATGAATAAATAAATAAACAAATAAATATATATATATATATACATACATATGCATATTATAAATAAAATGTATGCACATGCACATGTACTTGTACTGTGCGTGCACATACATGCAAAATACATACACCATACCATGCCATGCCGTGTACCATACATATGTATATGCATGTATTTATTATTGAATATATACCCGTATATACATGTTTGCATCTGGTGATGCCGCCAAACCTCAGCGTATTCTGCCATGTCTTTCTGTCCCTGCGGATGGAAGGTAGGAAAGGACAGGACAAACAGCAGCGTGCCCTTCGGGAAGCTCGGCAGGCCAAACCAAACTCGAAAAGTCAGCTCCATAGCTTGGCAGCATCAAGACAGTCAACTTGTTGGGTTGCACTCATAGTGCCTGGAAGCGGCTACCATGCTGTGAAGCTGTAACGCAAAAGAGCAGGTTGAAAATTCTGCAGTAGTGCAGTGGACAGCCTGCTGCATCCTTCTCTTCAGGACACTCTGTGACTCAAAGCTTAATGCCTTGCTCCGGCTCGAACTTGGCCCCGAGCTCACTCAACTTCTTGTGGGCCTTCGCATAGTCCTTGAAGAAGGCCTCCTGATCCTTAGCATAAAGGTCGAAGTACTTCTTGAATTCCGGGTCCGTGTGAAGAGCTTCATCGGTTGGGAACCACAGGAGGTTCTCATCCTCGGAGGCCAGCTTGTAGTCTTTGAAGTAACTGTTGTCAAAGGTCAGCCAGTTCTTCGTCCAAGCCGCACCGCCAACCATTCCGACACCTTTCTGGCCATCCTTCCGTGCCAGGCAATCGGACTTGGTGTACTTTGATGCCCCCTGTTCACCATAGCCGAAAGGGCAGGCGCCACTGCGCTCCTTGAAGGCGCGGCCAATGGTGTGGGCACCAGAGAGTGCGACGATCTCCTGATCCGTGAAGCCCATCTTCTTCGTGAAAACATTCCGAAGATGCTGTGCCGCCGTCGGTGCCCCGCAACCGAAGGGAGGCTTGGCATCGGGAAGCCCCGCGTTCCCCGAGAAGCCCTCCCTGGACGCTGATTTCACACACTCGCTGTCGGAGCTGACTGCCACTCGGCCGTACTTCATGTCAATGGCAGGGCCACCGGCACATTCGATGGCAACGGCAGATGCCAGCTGGATGAGGTCAGCCCAGGAAATTTCGGGATACTTCGTCGCGAACTCATCGAGAAACCCTTTGGCTTTGTCGAGGCCGGCATTAGCGCCGAAGTTCATCTCGCCCGCAAACCTGATTGCACCGTTGGCGCCACCCCGCTCCGGGAAGTTCTTGATGCGCTGATCATAGGTACCAGAGTCGTGCCAGGCCAAGCGAACCATGATCGGATGACAGTTTTTGCCGTCGATGAACTTCTTGAGGTCCTGTTTGCAGGCTCGCAACTGCGAGACCTTCTTGCTGCCACCCAGCATGCCGAAGCAACCGTCGGAGCAGGCGTTTCCCATGACGGCTGCGCGGAAGGGGTCCCAAGGAGCAGGTAGCGGGACTCGAAGGATCGGTGGGCCGAAATGGCTCGAGATATAACACCTCATGTTTAGGATTCCACGTACACTACATGACGTATGATGTACAGAAGTATGTGTGTGTGTGCGTTCATACACATGTATATATGCTTTTGGCGATATGTCTTTGTTCATGTGTATGACTGACTGACTGACGGACGGACTGAACGAAGGAATGAATGAATGAGTGGATGGCTGAATGAATGAAAAGAACGGCTGACTGGAATGAACGGATGAATGAACAAATAAGCGAATGAATCAAAGGATGGATGGATGGATGGATGAACGAAAGACTGAATGGATGAACAGATCGATCGACGATGTAATGAACGAAGATGAATGAACAGATACACGGACGCACTGAGCGGATTGAACGGATTGAAAGGAAGGAACGGATTGCATGGAAGCGGATCGAAGGGAAGGAATTCAGTCATGCATGCATGACGGAAATAGGGACCTAAGTAAAAGTATGTATAATATACCCCCGAAACTCTATCCCCATTTTTAAGGCCACCTGTATTAGCTGACTGCTGCACTCATTCCTGGCTTTTGTCCGGGCCTTTCGTTCCTTGAGAAGCTCCATGACGACCTTCAGCTGAGCGGTTCAGCTCTGAGTCGAGACTCTAATCAGAATAGGGTTTAAGGCCCATTATACTACGTATACCTACAATATGGAACCACCAAATACTCTAGTAAAAACGCGCATAAGTGTCAGGCAATCTTCTCGTCGATCTGACTAGAGGTGCCATGCTCATCGGTTCAACTACACGGCTTTTCATAGATTGATTCATAACAGCGGAAGCTCAAGACCTGGGTGCATGATGATAAAGACAAGATGCTGAGTAGTTATATGCAATGCGCCTTGGACACAGCAGCCCGTTTGACGGAACGGGCTTCTCAACTAACTTGGAAGACTCCATCGCTGCCCTTTGGGCGAGAACGGGTGACCTGCATGCCACATTCCATGTTTAGCTGCCCCCAATCCAAGCCGTCCTAAGCTTGGTCTGTTTTGTATAAACAACCCTAACCTCTCGTGCCACGGGACGCAGTCGCCGAAGCCGAAGCCCACACAAGGCACTTCCTTCCGCTGTGGGACTGGGAGCTCAGGTCTCGCATCAGCTTCAGGGTTTAGAGGCTTTGGAGGCTTGGAATTCGACATGTGGGATGTTGCTTGGTAGATTGAGAGTTTATGTAGGCTTGAAAGGCATCGGGGTTTCAATGAGCTCTGGGTTCAACTGAGCGAAACCAAAGCCACCCACAATCCAGTCCGATCTCGGACTGACCTGAAGGCATGGAGAAGACGGGCTTCCAGCCATCTGTGGTTGCATTAGCATCAGCAGCACCGTCATCACCATCTATGGCGATAGCATCCGAAGCACCACCATCATAAGCAGAACCACAACACGTTCTCTTCATCTTCTGGCTTCTATTCAGAACCGCCGATGACGACAGCATGTGCGAGGCGATGATAATGACAATGCCACCGTCATCACGAGGTGTGAACTGCACGACTGCACGACTGCTTGCAGCGGCACATATGATGTGACATCAACATGGTGAGGGGATGAAGCTGTTGTTTCACTCTCGCATGGCCGAGATCTATGCGCAATTCGTAATCAAGACGGTCCCTCTGGATGGCAAAACACTCAAATTCTGGCTGTGCCCCTCATCGTCCACTA